TGTGCCAGTGGGTTTAGAGTGTTTAGAAGAGAGTCCCATCTCAGTCACTTATGTGAGAGGGCGGGCGTGCGTGTGTGTGTGTGTCTTCTGCCGGATTCAGAAGTTGGAACAGTTTGTTGCCAGGATGGGACGGGTCCTTCAGTATCTGCGCTGCTCTAGTCCGGCATCTCCAGGTGTAAGTGTCCTGAAGAAGGGGGGAGAGCAATCCTGCAGCAACGTTCTGCTGTACGGATCACTCTCTGAAGAGCTTTTTGGTCCTTAACACTGTTCCCAAACCACAATGTCATGTTCTGTGTGAGGATGCTCTCCACAGCGCCTGTATAGAAAATCCTGAGGATCTTTGGAGAGACCCTGAACTTCCTCAGTTGTCGTAGGTGATACAGGCGCTGCCTAGCCTTTTTGGTCTGGACCTGAATGTGGGCAGACCATGTCAGGTCTGAGGAGATGTGGACACCAAGATAATTTAAGGACTGCACCCTCTCCACTGGAGCTCCATTGATGATAATGGGCTTGTATTCTCTATGCTGACTCCTTCTAAAGTCCACCACCAGCTCCTTGGTCTTGCCAACGTTCAGCTGGAGATGGTTATCCTGGCACCTTGATGCCAGATCCTTCACTTCATCCATGTAGGCTCCCTCATTGTTGTTGGAGATGGCACCCAACACCACTGTGTCGTCAGCAAACTTCACAATGGTGTTGGAGCCATGGGTGGCCACACAGTCTGAAGTGTAGAGGGAGTAGAGCAGTGGTGAGAGGACACATCGCTGTGGTGCTCCTGTGTTCTGCCAGTGAAGAAGTCCAACATCCATGCACACAGATGGCTGTTAAGTCCTAGATCCCTCAGCTTTATGAACAGTCTGCTGGGCACTATTGTGTTAAACGCTGAACTGTAATTACCAAATAGCATTCTTACATAGTTACCCTGTTTCTTGTCCATGTGGCAAGAAACACATCCACAAGGGTGTGACATGGGTGACGGTGTCCTCTGTGGATCTGTTGGGTCGGTAGGCAAACTGGAGCGGATCTGTGGTGTCTGGGATGGAAGAGGAGACGATGTTCTTCAGCAGCCTCTCGAACACGTTCATTACTACTGAGGTCAGTGCAACTGGCTGGTAATCGTTCAGGGATGAGGGTTTGCTGTTCTTGAGCACAGGGATGAGGGTTTGCTGTTCTTGGGCACAGGGATGATGGTAGATCTTTTGAGCGCTCTGTAGGCATTGTAGGTGGCGGTCCTGGTGTTCACTGCAGCGCGGATCGATCTGTCCACCCACGGTTTCTGTTTTGGGAATGGGGTGACTCTCGCAGTGGGGATAATCTCCTCCGCTAGCATGTTGACGAAGCATGCTGCTTCTTCCATAAACTCGTTGCTGTCAACTGTGCATGCTCTGAACATGTCCCAGTCTACATCTCTTAGGTCATTGAGCTTGTTCTCCAGTGATTGTACATTGGCCAGCGTGTCCAAGATTAAAACTGTCCAAGATTAAATGTGTAACCTTGTCACCGATGTTTATAAGTGATCTGCTGTTGTAGACTATGAAACTAGAGGATTTTGGGATGTAAACCAGAGCTAAAAATAAGTAAACACCTAAAAAAGTGCATAGTCTGAGCGGAGCAGTCAGGAAGGTGTCTGGATGTGGCCGCGCCATCTTTAAAGCCGATAGACAGTGTAGATAATTGTTTAGACTCTGTCTGATGGATCTTTCTGAGTTAACTTCAATAATTGCTTCCTCCAAACCATCAATGTGTCTTTGATCTTTAAAAACATGAGAGGAGAAATACAGAAAAAAATGGTAATATGACAGAGCAGCGGTAAGACTGTTAAAACCTAAAGAAATACTAACAGCTCACCTCTCTGCAGCAGACAGAGACTGGGCTTTAAAACCGATGGGCTGACATTTAGACCTGGGTGGAGGTCCAGGTTGGTTCCTGTGAGTAATGATGGAGCAGTCTTCCTACAAGACTGCTCAAAGAAGTCCTGGCATTAATTAATGCTTCAATCTTAAATATTATCAATTATCTCTAATAATCGGCTATGTACCACAGCCCTTCAAGCCAGCTGTAGTTAAACCTTTACTTAAAAACGTGTCTCTAGTTTCCAAAACAGTAAATCAGTGTGTGTGCAGTTCTCTGCAAACTCAGCAGGAATAATTAGCGTGAAGTTTTTAACTCTGCTGATCCTCTTTGAATCAGTGATCAGCTGAAATGTTTGAAAATGTGGTTCACACGTGTTGAATTGACTGAAGCTTCCAGTCACAGTGAATCAGTGTGTGTCAGTGAATGCATCGTGTGTGCTTCATACCTCCATCTAGTGGACTCATAGTAGAAGTAGAGCAGCTGATGGCAGCTTCCTCTGCCTCACACTGCTGTCTGACTGCATTCAGCTGAGATGAAGCAGGAAAGAAGCAGCTGATATTTGGACAGCACACATGATGGAAAGGAGGATTTCAGTTGATGTGCACATGAATGATTTGTGTTTCCTCTGCAGGTGAAGGTAGAAAGTGTGTGTGAGCTGATGTGAATTGAGCAGCATGGATCAGTGTGAGGACAGAGAGGA